AGTGTATCTATGAAAAGGTTACTTATTTGTCGTTAAGAGGATGGCAAATTGGTAATGGTGGTGCTCTTGTGCATACTCTTATGAGAGTAGTGGTTGTGCACAGTAGAATGCCTCATTCAAATCAAGATATTGCTTTCAAATTTTTATAATGGCAAACACTTCTCCATATAATTCGTGTTTCACTATGAAATGCTTATCACCATGTTTAAACCACCCCTAGCTTTTTGAAATTTTTATCTTTGAACTTGATTTTTGGTTTATTATTTTTTGTGCTTGTTGTCATGTATCAGCCGATATATGGGTTCACCTCTAATGATCCTCCGAGGTTCAAAAGAGCTGCTGGACATAAGGATTTGTTCTACATCGATGACAAAGATGTGGATATCAAAGATGTAAGATTTCTAGGTACACCAAGATTGCCATTCTGATAATAAAAATTGTTTAATTGCTTTTTGATACGATGTTCTCATATTTTTCTTGATTTGAGCAGCTTATTGAAGCTCCTTTACCGAAAGCACCCCTTGATACATCAATTACCAGTCACTGGTTGGCTATTGAAGGTGTGCAACCTGCAATTCCTGAAAACGCTCCAGTTGAAGGTATTTTTTCCAGATTTAAGCACAATAAAACTGAATTAAACCTCCTTAATGCTCTGAGTTCCAACCATGCTCATTCTCTGTATGATAATATGATCAATTTCCTATCTAGCCAACCTGCTATAACCTCCTTAATGGTACACTGAATTTTGTATTTTACCAAACTGTATGAAGTTCATGATGAAGTTTGATTTTCCTGACATTGACATATTTATTTGCCCTGCGTTAATTGCAGCTCCTCCCTCTGAGATACGAAAATCTGAATATAAGGAAGATGGGCTTTCTGTTGATGTTAAATTACCTGTTAAACATTTAATAACAAGGGAGCTTCAGGTAAACACATTATGTGGTGTATCAATTGTTTATGCAATTCCATGTTTTTGTACTTCACTTAAGGATCTTTATTTCTTACAGCTCTACTACGAGAAAATAACTTACCTTACATTAAATAAGTCTGGATCCATTCCGTTCAGAAGAGCATTGGTTAGCTTGGCGACAGACTCAGGACTCCATCCCTTAGTTCCATATTTCACATGTTTTGTTGCCGATGAGGTATTGACAAGTTTGTCAGTGATGTTTTTGGTTAAGGTTCTTAATTCAGTGTGCGAAATAGAGCATAAACCCTCACTTTTATCCTTTTTCTCTTGTCATATCAGGTGGCACGTAATTTACATAATTTAGCTGTTTTATTTGCCTTGATGCGCCTTGTGCGGAGCCTTGTGCAAAATTCTCAGATACACATAGAACTTTATGTAAGTTTGACACCAATGTAAATGATTTTGCACATATATATATATATATATATATATATATTTATGTATGTATGTATGTATATATACATCGTTGACTTCAGATGATTGTTGTTATATATGACAACTGATGAGTTTGATCTCTGATATTTAAAATCTGCAGTTACATCAATTGATGCCACCTATCATTACTTGCCTTGTTGCAAAAAGGATAGGAAGCAGACTATCTGACGATCATTGGGAGCTTAGGAACTTCAGTGCTAATCTTGTTGCTTCAATATGCCAAAGGTGTGGACTTTCTTTCGATTGGATAAGAATTTAAATACCATGGAAGAGATAATTTAATTATGAAGTTAACTTTTGCAGCATGTGCATTGTTTTCAATTTTTCTATTTTTTATATACAGATTTGAGTAGGAGATTTATTTAGAGTTATTTCTTCATTATTTTTAATTAAGAAAGATTTTCCTTATTTCTTTTAATTGTGTCTGATTTGTGGCCCATAAATTGTTGAGGCTGTTAAACTTGCATGTGTTTGAAATAGAATATTGTTGGAGATTCCATATCTAGTAGAGATATGGTCAAATTGTGGTATATAAGTAGGTGTAAATCTGATCTTATAAACCGGTTTTGTAAGGTTGAGATAGATTTAAACATACATGTTTCATACAGAATACTATATATAGGTATATAGCTGACATTGATACTTTACAGTTTAACTGCACAAGTTGAGCAATGTGTTTTGTAAAACAATAATGATGCAAAGGGCTTCTTAATATGCATATCTAAATTTCCTCAAGATGGCACATACTTTGGTTTGATAAGGAAGATTTTGTATTTAGCAACTACAGACTACTGAGCTTGCTTATATTTATTTTTTTGAGTTCTAAATTTCTTGTCTCTGGAAATTTCAGATTTGGGCATATTTATCACAATCTGCAGCCACGTGTGACAAAGACATTTCTTCATTCTTTCTTGGACCCTACAAAAGCTCTGCCTCAGCACTATGGTGCAATTAAAGGGATAGAAGCTCTTGGATCAAGAATTGTATGTTCTGACCTTGATTTAAATGTGTTATGGTTGTTAAATTGTTTTCATCTTATTTGTTTGATGATCTCTTATGGATAATAATCGAATGAAGACACTATACTTTTCCTTTTTATATCAGATATGATTATTTTCTTATACAAACATGATAATTTTTATCATCTGTTTAGTTGTTGTGGACTATAATGGAGAACTATCACTTTTTTTTTTAATATGATGTTACTAAATATGTGCATTTTTATTACAATCTTAATTTGTATGGGGTGCACTGGTGACTTTTATGCTTTATGATTTAGAACCTCTGGTTGTATTGGTGCAAACTAATGCTTACATTTCTTCACTTTGAGTAGATTCACTTGCTTATACTTCCAAATCTCGAGCCATATTTGCATCTTCTTGAGCCAGAAATGCAACCTGAGAAACAAAACAATGAAATGAAGAGGCATGAAGCTTGGCAGGTTTATGGAGCTTTGTTGGTGAGTTCTGATGGTTTAATTATGCATAAATTGGTTTGTTTTCACTGAACATCTCTTTAGCTGATCACTGAAGTCAAATCTTTCAGGGTGCAGTAGGCAAATGTGTGCATGAAAAGGTAAAAAATTTCAGCAATTTGTTCTCTCCTCCAACTCGGCTTACTTCAAGAGGCAGTGGAAAAGCCATTATTCCAATGTCAGGTATGACTTTATTTTTCTACCACCGCAATTATATTGATGTGTTTGAAGAGAAATACATGCTTGATCTTGAATGGAGTAATGAATAAATTTGTTTGTATGCATGCCTTATGTTGATAGCTGTATGATCTCTCTCTCCTTCTCAAAGTTAACTTTTAGTCCTAACAGGCAACACAGACATAAGAAGGTCAGTGTATTTTTGAAAACATTTTCTTTTTAATAATAATAATACACAAGCTAGTTTTTGAAACGCATTGCCCTACAAAGAATAATTATTCAATAACCATTTATAGTAAATACTATTTCAATATAAACTGCTTTGAACAATATGTACCAATGGATTTTTAATATTTTGTGCTAATAATATTTTAATGTATTATTCCTTGCTTGGGATAAAAAGGGAGAGAGAAAGGGTCAATCTTCTTGTTTCATCGTTAAAAAAATAATTCTATATAAATTCCAAGATGATTGATTTTAACTACTGTTACTTTTCCCTTCATAAGCACTTCTGTTTTCCTAGTGAACTGAACGATTTTTAAACTTAGTACCGAAATGGAAGATTATATGGAAGTAAACTAATCAAATCCTTAACCACACATGGATATTAGATATTGATTTAAAGTAAATGAAATTTTGACCATTCATGCAACATTAAATGTTTACAATCCTAAAGCCTGATTTAAAGTAAATGGACTGAATTTGTTTCCATCAGAATGCTCATTTTGGCATCCATGTTTTCCTATAATCAGAAAACAATCTTTACTTTTGTGCTCTTATAATGATCATACTCCATCTTTACACTAATGAAGGCAAACGAAAAGCCAGTGCCGACAATCTGATGCAGCAGCAACCTCCAATGAAGAAACTTTCAACAGATGGCCATGGAGGTGTAATACCAATGAACTCTATGTCAGTTGACATGAAAGGCTCAACAGGGGGATTTTCCACCATGATGGGGGCTCCTGTGATGTCGATGGCTAGTCAAATTTCAACCGACAAGGCGGCAGGGAGGGAGGTTATAGATGAACAAAGGAAGGTGTCTGCCACTCTTGCTCAGGCTTGGAAGGATGACATTGATGCAGGAAATTTGGTGTCATCAGTGGTTGAATTGTTTGGCGAAAGGGTGTTACCATTTGTTCCAAACCCTGAAGCATTTATGTTTTTGTAGCACTAGAGTTGCAGTGTAGGTATTTGTTTTTGCATGTGAAAGTGCATGCAATAAGGTGGCATGCTTCATATATGACTTGCTGCAGAATATAAATTACCATAGGCTAGAGTAGAAATTAACCTGTATTTAAATTTGATATTAAAGTCATGGGAAATGCCTAAGAAAAGCTCATGAAAAAACCAGTAACACGTCTTACATTGTCTTTTAGATTATTTATTCAGTAATTGAACACTCTGACAAAGCAGAGGGTCAATAGATGAAAAATCATGATATCTCTTGAAAAAAATTACAAAACAAAACATTGAAGAACAATTCATATGAAAAGGATCTGCATAAACTAATATTAACGAAACCAAATCACTGTAATGAATATTTTGTGAGAAAATTGACGCAAGAGTCATATTTGCTTTCGTTAAGAAAATCCAAATAATTGCAAATGAAACATCAATCGGGAAAAATGGTAACATTAACTGAAGCTCGCGTAGATACTATATATAGAATATAGAATCTGTTACAATGTGAAGGACAAAAAGGTTACCATCGTTGTCTCAGCTGCAATTCAGGTTTCAAATACAAAAAAGAAATGTGACGTTCTAATTTCGTAAAAAAAATAGTAATTAAAATTGTTGGAATATGACATTTATAAAAAATATTTAAGGATTTTTTTTCTAACATTTATAATAATTATAGTATGCTGAAATACCAGTATTATTTATTTTCCTTGTCAGGTGCAGCAATTTCTTTAAAAAAGAGAAATAAGAAAAAGCTAAATGTGAGAGTTCACACACATCACACACTAGTATTGTCACCACTGCATAACCTTCTGTTGCGCTTTTCTTCCTTCCTTCGTTTCCAATCCACAAAACTGAACTTGAACGATGAAAACTGAACTTAATTCTCGTCTTCTTCTAAAACCCTAAACCCCAATTCTTCATCATCAAAACTAAAACAACAACCCTCACAAGTGTTACAATGGCCGTGCTTGCCCTTACTAACCCAAGTTCTATTCGCCACAATGCATTCTCTTATTCTTCTTCTTCCTCTTTCGCTCTCAGAACAAGAACGTGCGTCACCGCACCCCCGCGACGCCGTTTCGCGTCCGTGAGGTGCTGCTCCTTCTCGACACTCGAGAGCGCGAAGATTAAGGTTGTCGGCGTCGGGGGCGGCGGGAACAATGCCGTTAACCGCATGATTGGTTGCGGATTGCACGTGCGTTTTTCGTTTCCCCTTTTTGTATTTACTAATACTTTTGTTTAAAATCTCACTTGATGTCTTTTAATGGGTCATTTTTGTTTAATTTATGAAACTATGAACAATGTGAGATTGTATGGTATCTTTGGTGGGTTTGTTAAGAAACCCATTTGGTGTATCTGTTAATTCGTCATTTTTATATATTTTGTTAGTGTTTTTGAACACTGAAATTGTCGATAACTATGTTGTTTTTTAATGGAATATGTTTCTTGGTTTTTACTTTGGTAAGATGTATTTTGGGTTTCTAAAGATTTAGTCGAAACTGTTTTAAGAGCCTATCTTTTTTTGGCACTTCTATCGGTGAGGTCAAAAGTACCGAGTCAGATCATCAAATTTAGAATACGAGGGTCACTGCATTTAAAATGTAGAGTAATTTTAACCGAATCTTGACGGTATGATGGCCAAGATAGTGTAGATTTTTTCATTAAAGTACTGTTTATGTTTTTGCTAATGCTGTATTCTTGTACAATTCTTGTTTTTTTTTTAATCAGGGTGTAGAATTTTATGCTATAAATACCGATGCTCAGGCACTGTTGCATTCTGCGGCCGAGAACCCTATCAAAATTGGAGAGCTTCTGACTAGGGGATTAGGTCAGACACTTGTATGTGTTCTGCTATGATGTGATTTGATTTGTATGCCTTTGTGGTTTGGCTTCCATATTTCAATGTTTCCTTTGATTCGAGATGCTTGATAGAGATGCAGGTACTGGGGGAAATCCACTTTTGGGGGAACAAGCTGCTGAGGAATCTAAAGATGCTATTGCTAGTGCTCTTCAAGGATCTGATTTAGTGTTCGTAACTGCTGGCATGGGTGGGGGAACTGGGTCTGGTGCTGCACCAGTAGTGGCCCGAATAGCAAAAGAGGCAGGTTACTTGACTGTAGGTGTAGTTACTTATCCCTTCAGTTTTGAAGGACGCAAAAGATCATTGCAGGCAGGTGTCATTTCTTTCCTTATTTGAGAATATGATTAGGTCATGTGTTATAACTGATAATCATCTTAGTTATGGTTGAACTGTGATAATTTACTTTGAAAATTGATTGATGTTATATTGTATTGTCTTGATCCGACGATACTTATAGAAGTTAAAATTCCGGTTTTATCCTTTCAGGCACTGGAAGCCATTGAAAAGCTGCAGAAAAATGTGGATACTCTTATAGTGATTCCAAATGACCGCCTCCTTGACATGGCTGATGAGCAGACCCCTCTTCAGGATGCTTTCCGTCTGGCAGATGATGTTCTGAGGCAAGGAGTGCAGGGAATATCAGACATCATAACAGTGAGTTGATTAACAATTTTAGAAGACTTTCTATCTGGAAGCGGTACCATGGAAAGCATTAGTTGTTCATTCTAGGATGGTAGATTGAGAAGAGTAAGAGGGTACATTACAGGCTTCAATCATTTTCCATATCCTTTCTCCCAACTCATTGGAGTGTTTGCCCCACTGTCATAATTAAACAATTATATATTGCAAAGTGCATTTTGATGTCGGTTTACGAGGATGATATTCCTACTGTCTTTTTACAGATACCTGGGCTTGTAAATGTGGATTTTGCTGATGTAAAAGCTGTGATGAAAGACTCTGGAACTGCAATGCTTGGTGTGGGTGTTTCCTCCAGTAAAAACCGTGCCGAAGAAGCTGCAGAGCAGGCTACTTTGGCTCCCTTAATCGGCTCTTCTATTCAGTCAGCTACTGGAGTGGTGTATAATATTACTGGAGGAAAAGACATAACTCTGCAGGAAGTAAACAGAGTGTCTCAGGTACTTCATTGGCAGAAGGAACATAGTTTTTGATCATATGAATATGTTTTAGGCATTTGTTTGGTTTTCTCAAAACTTCATAATTGTTGTAGGTGGTGACAAGTTTAGCTGACCCTTCTGCCAATATCATATTCGGTGCCGTTGTTGATGATCGCTACAATGGGGAGATTCATGTGACTATCATTGCAACTGGCTTCTCGCAGTCCTTCCAAAAGACACTACTAACAGATCCAAGGGCAGCAAAGTTGCTTGACAGAGTGCCTGAGGGCCAAGAAAGCAAGGCAGCTTCCTCTCCTCTCAAATCCTCAAACTATCCAACAGTTGGATCTAGAGCATCCCCACGAAAGCTCTTCTTTTAGTTACATAGTTCTTTCACACTTTTTTTTTTGGTTGTAGTTAATATCTTTGCTTATCTTGAAGATTAATTGAGATGTCATTCTGGTGATGGTGTCTTTCAAATATGGAGCTTGCTTTTACGAACTTCTTTTCTTCAAAATGTTGGCTATTTTCATGATTCGTTAGTCAGACTCTTGGTAACAAACAGCTTGTTTGTAGCTCACTCAAACAGCATTTTTGTCAAAGGAATGAATATATAAACTTTACTATGATATTCTCGTGTATTTAGTGTACACCATAACCAACAAGAGTTTTATGCAGTGATTAATATCAACTTTATGACTAATATGGATTCAATGCTAAGGTGAAATTTTTTAAGAGGATTCTTAGTATGTTTGAATGGAAATTTTTTAAATGGTAATTATTTCTGAAAAGAATTTGAAATATCTTATAATAAAACATGTTATTCGAATAGAAAATTTCAACAGGAATTTATATTTTCTTATTCTTTTCTCTTTTGTATCAATGTTTTTTTTTTCAAATTTTCCTTTTGTCTTAGACTTAGATCATTGATGCTTTGAGTTTAGACTTCGTCCACGGATAGGATGGTGTTGGTTTTATATCATTTTCTTTTTGTTTATGTAAGCTTCAATTTCTTTACGAAATGATATGGTTAATATCAAACAGAATCCTTTTGATTGATGTATATTATTTTTAATTGATGTTAGTCAAGATTATTTTATGACTAATATTGATAAGAACATATGTTAATGATGTTTATATACTAATTTTAGTAAGAATTTTCTTTATAACTATTGGATTATATATTTTATCAATATCACTGAGCCTTTTTATCAATATCATTGAAACCATTTTTATCAATGTATAATCCATGTTAATAAAAGTTAATTTTCTAATTGATATTGTTAAGAGCATTATATATCTCTTAAAGTAGAATAATGTTATTTCTTAATTAATGTTTGGTAATGAATATGAATTTTTTCCTGTTGAAGCTTATAGTGATTATTTTTTGTGCTGATGTCGTTATAACTTTTCTATTGACATTACTAGTTTTATCTAGTATTAAATTTACATTTCATAATAATTAAATATAAGAAATTAAAATTATCTGATTGAAATTAAATAATTTAAAATACAAAACAATTCAAATTTAATGTATTTTAGTTTTTCTAAAATTTGAATTCACATAATGTTAATATTATAATACCCCAATGTTTAAATACCTAAATATTGTTTTTATGGTATATACTTTTTCATCAATGATTAAATTAATAGTCAATTGTTTCGTTGAGCTTGGGCTAAACTTTTTAGGTAGTTGAACTTTATATCTTAAAATTGGATTATCTTCTGAGAATCTTTTGGATTTTGAAAAACTTATTCCCAAAAGAATGGAAGGTAATACAAGATATTAATGGAGGTGAAAAGGAAACACCCTTTCGATATTTTATTATGAAATTATTTAATACTGATTAAATGGAAAAATTACATAGGAATTATATGGTTAATTAAATTACTTCTAACTATTTTTGTAAAGACATACGAAAGCAAGTTTTTCAGCAAAAAAAAAAAAAAGAAAAAAACGAGCATAGTCCAATGCTCTTAGTATAGTAGGCCGAGTTTGGGGCCTAGGTGGGCTGAAGCCCAATTCATTCTGAAGCAGAAAATCGACGACGCATCACACACTATATGCGAAGGTGATCGAATCACAGCACGGTGAGATCTATTGCTTGATAGAGTTCAGAGGTAACATAACAAACTATCATTATTCAATTGTGTTTTCTCTTTTCCTATTTTCACTTTCTTTCATTTTCCACCATTTTCTCGGCATCCAAACGCCCCCAAATAGTAGGGTTCAATTCGCCTTCGCTCCAAAATCAATCAATCCATCAATTAATTCACATTTTATTTCACTCTCTTTTTCAATTCGCGGTAGGAATTTGTTTTCTCTGCTCGGGATCTGGAAAGGGAACGACTCGACATGGGTTTCCTGGTGACGACGCTGATCTTCGCAGTGATCGGAATCATCGCGAGCCTCTGCACCAGAATTTGCTGCAACAGAGGACCTTCTACCAATCTGTACGCTCCTTTTCCCTTTCTCTCTCCATTCTGTTTTAAGTTCTCAATGTATCGATTGCGGTATCCTAGCAATCTCGAGAGTGGTTTGCGTTCGAGGAATTGGGAGGTTCTTCACTCAATTGGGCTTTATAGTACGACGTGTCTCTGAATTGGATTTCGTGATTTGGTTACGTTGTGTGAGTGGATCATCTCATCGTTAGTTTTCGTTTAGTTGTTGTAGTGCAATCAGTGGGATTTTGATCTGATGAATTTATGGATTGGTTGGGGAAATGTGTTTTACCGCTTTCTGTTGTTGTGAATCCTGCTGCTGCTTTAAATACTTGCCAAGATTTCGGGAAATGAACTTAGATTAAGGTTGTCTTCCTCAAAATTAAACAAATGTCTTTATACTCAAACATGACATACGGTTTTGTTGTTGTTGTGGTTGTTGTTGTTGACTTTATAGTAAGGCGTTACTGATTCACTTGGGAAGGATGAGTTGGCCAGTATTTTAAAAAAAAAAAAAAGTATTCCTGGATGTTAATTGATTCTAGGGAATTTCTTTGCATGTAAAGAAGTCAAGAGTATGACTGTGTGTTTGCTGTCTTGGTAATGAATACTTGTTCAACACCTTATAAACTGTTATCGTTCTTATTCTTGTTTATTTTTCTGTTCAAAGCTTCATTGAACATGAATACAATCTTTTAACCCTTTCACGATCAGTTGCTTTAGAAAAGTGAGAACGTGAAAAGAGACACACTTAGTACTTGACAACTTGATATGGTTATCAACTATTTATTGCAACCTTTTGTGTTTTATAAATGCTACATATTCAGATTTATTTGGCGACTTGAGCTTGCTCTGAAGAATTTATACAGACTCACATGCATTCCCACACTGACAAATCTAATGAATATTCATTGTGGCACTATTTTCCGTTGCTGTTCTGTGTAATGTGTGAATTGTTCTTATCTACCTGTGTCTAATCTCTTCTTATTCTGTTGCAGATTTCACCTAACTTTGGTAATTACTGCAACAATTTGCTGCTGGATGATGTAAGTATTGTTTGATGGGCATGTTTTTATTTTACATTAAGTTAAACATTGAACTAGAGTGTGTAGAATTTTTGTGCACCAATATCTTTATTTCCCCTGGCAAGGAATTCATTGATTAGAATAGGAAAAAAAACGATGTCTTTTACCCGACGTAGATGACTCCAATCAGGCTGCCATTTATTGATTAGACCATGATACCGGCGTACTGCATGTGAATTTTGGTCTTTAATGTCTAAATACCAGAGTGGAATAGCATCCTTCCTATGAAGAATAGTAATTGAAGCAGAGTTACCGAATTCTGTGATAGTAGGATAATTTTAATTGATTGTACCTGATCGTATATAAGCATGGATGCCTTTATTCTATTTTAAACGGCCATTAGTTTTATTAGTGAAAAAGGAGCCTGCCATGCCACACAGATGTGATTATTGTAACTTAAAATGTCTCCAACTGGTAATAGGCTGTCAAGTTTCTCTTTTTCGTTGGTATATACTCATTGTCATTCTTATATTTGCACATCTTAAATGTGTGATTTTACAAGAGGAAACTATAAATATTTTGTGTACTTATTTATTTATATTTCTGTTCCTCATTTTCTGATAAAATATGATGAACACGAGTAGCTGTATGTTTGAAAAGCGTTTGTTTTGTTTATATTTTTTGGGGAGTTGGGGTATGACTTTTTGTTCACAGCTCATTCCCAAGTTTTCTATCTTCTCATATTATTGAATCCTATCTTGATTGATCTTTCAGTGAGCTATTTTCTGTTTGTGTTTGGTTCAGTTGTAATTATAGCTTATAAATACCAAATCATGTGTTCTTTGTCATAGGCTCAACCTTGGTCTTTTCTCTGTTCTTTTAGGTGGGCGATTGTATATCTGGCACAGATGAAACCACTCATTGTACCTATACTGAGTGAGGGCGAATGAGTCTCTAAACAGATGTAGCTCCTTGTAAGTTAGAGAACATGGATCACAAATTGGCTGCCGCATAGAATTTGATTTTGGTTATCATGAGTTGTTCAGTATTTTTTTCAGAGTGAACTGGACTGTATGTATTTCTTGTCTGATAATGGCATTTCTGTTGCTACCTGACATTAGTCATATTACGAATGTTGTATTTATCACCCATTCTGTTATTCATTTTAGATATCCGTGGATAATGGTATCAAATATGTATTTCGGTGAAAAATAAGTTGATGAAAAGGGAAGTTTGTTGTCTAAGATTCAAAAATTTCTTATGTCATGTTTTGGCACTTCTCATGTACTATTCACTCTGGTCACCTACCAGATGACCGAAACGTTAATTAAATACTGACAATCGATACTAATTTAATAGTTTTAGTACTTGTTAGTACGCCTACAACAGCTGGGCAACATTTCGTTTCACACATTTTATTTCATTTTGATTTTTTTTATTGATTCATTTTTAAGTACACTTGTAGAGAAGTGACTGAGAGAAAATTTGAATTGATTTTACTTATTTAGGTGAACTTTTTCAACTCAACCAAACGGGGCAGATATATGTTTGGTAACTAAATGAAAAAAAGTGAGCTATGTTGATGAATGTTAGAAATTTATAAGGAAAGACAAATTGTATAGGTTTGTTTATATATGAAAAAGAAAAGAAGAAAATCGTATCATAATTCTTTTTTGGATAAAAGTGTGAATAGTATAGCAATGGTCATCCGATTGTCTTATGTTGAAAACATTCATTTTAATTCGAAATATAAGTTATTGTATCTAACATTTCAAAAATCTTAACTTATAATCCTAATTTTATAAATAATCTTTTTATACTAAGAACTGAAGAATGAATGTTATATTACTACAAAAATATTAAAAAACGATAAATAAGAATTACACTAAAAACTTTTAGAAATTAAAATAATAATAATAAACTGTCCCCCAGAAAAGTAAAATAACATTAATTTTTTTAAATACCTAAATCTTTTTAGAAAATAAAACTCTATTGTATCCCTTCATTGACGTAGGTTAGGTAGGCTTTTTTTTTTATATAAGAAGAGGATTTGAGGAAGCGTAAAAATAATGGATTAGAGTTTTAATAAAGGAGAAATTGGTCTTGTTTGTTTTAAGAAAAGAAAACTGAAAGTGAAAAAATTAAAAAAAAAGTTTGTAAATGATTAGATAGGTCTGATAAATAAAAAAAAAATATTTTAATAAATTAAATTAAAATATCACAATTTTATTGTATAAAATGAAACTAATTAGTATAATTTATGTTAAAATCAAATGTTGGTTATTATGTAAAATAATTTTTTTTTTTTGTAATTGATGACTTGATTTTAAATAAAAACATGACTACTACAAATCAAGTTAAAATAAATTATGAGTAATTTGATTAAATAAAACAAAATAGTGATTGTTTGAAGTTCATTTAAATTAAAATGTGAATAATTTGTTAAAGATATATTTCAATTGATCAAAATAAATTAGATTAAATTGTTAATAAGGAAAATGATAATTTAGTTAATTAAAATGTAGAGTTATTAGTTAAAACAATACTTGAATAAAAATATGCATGATTAATTGAATCAAATGTTTTAATTAATATATTTAATGTTAAATGGAATGCTAATTATGGATTTCCATAAAATCAATTGCTATCAAAATTGTAATATTTGTAAAAGTATACATAACGATATTATAAATATAGAAAATGTTAAGAAAAAATATACAAAATTGATGTAACCGAATGTATACGAACATGAGATCGAAAAACATACTTAAATTACAATAATCGAAATAAAAATAATAATATCATCTATTTGAAAGAGTCCTGAAAGGTGTCAAATCTTTCTTCCAAACGGTTAATTCTTTCAGTGACCCTATCAAAACCTGTGGTGACAGTTAAATTCAAATTAGCTAATCCTTCTTGCAGATGTTGAATACCTCCCCAAATTTGTGAAAGAATTTGAGCATCATGCTGGATCGGAGGTTGTGGTCTACTGTCTTCAACACGGTGGTCAGGTACTGATGCTTCTTCATGCTCAATATCTTCTTCTTCAGGTTGTTGTTCATCATCCTCATTAGCCCCACCATGGTGCCATACACCATTAACATTAACAATATTTAATTTTTTCAAGGATTTTGTACCAAAGTAGTGTGTCCAACCTAGTACGGTAGATGAATCGATAGTTAAATCGACGCCATAATAACCCATGATCTGAGTAATCAAAATACCATATGGAAGAGGCATCTTATTGTCCTTACATTTCATCATATGTTGCATTATGTGATGAGGCCAATTAATCAAAATGTTATTTTTCATGGCCCATAACATAAAAGTGTCTTCATGCATTATTTTTGCAAAGTTGGTAGCCCGAGGACTCAAGATATGCACCAATGCATAATGCAGAAGTCTGTCATTAACATTCATGGCACCTACAGTCTTTGCATTTTGACCCTGCAACTCTGGTCTGATCATGTCACTGAATGCCATATCACGGTTGTATGGTAGGTCATCAGGTATGGTAGGAAATGAGAGTTTTTGACCTTGATACTTCAGATGAGCTATAGTCAACCAATCAGCAGGTTTCATTTCAATTTTTGTCTTATTAACCTCAGTATAGAGGTGACCATTTTCTACTCTTAGATTGGAATAAAATACCCTTATGAGATCTTCAAAGTATGGACATTCCATACATACAAATTCCTCCAAACCTTGAAATTGAAGATGATGGTGAAAGTACAAACCTGATTGTGCAAAGAAAGGAAAATTCATTATCTTTGGTGTTAGGATTTTCCTCTTGTAAAATGCCTTCCCATACTGAATCATATGATCATGCTCGCCAAAAAACCGTGTTTGATTTAAAACTTCTTCGATTGAGGGTAGCCTTCTAGTAGGAAGTGCAGGTTCAATGGCCAAAGCTTTTTCTCTCCTTTGGTTTCCACTTCTCTGTCTTTTAGTTGATAAAGATGAAGTCATTACTACAACACTTTAAGCAAATGAAAATATAAGTCAATTTACATTTAATGATACAATAACAATAATTTAAATGAAGTTACTATAGGAATGATAAAAAAGTGAAATAAAATTCATTATATGCCATGTAAAATTAAGTGTCACAAGTACTTCAAATATTACAGTACTGTACATCTAGACAGAAGAAAAGGCATTATTTTAGTGTATATGCAGTTCAAGATTCAGAACTATGAGGAGTTGTAGTGAAAACTTTGTTGGAAGAGCTTGATATTTGCTGTATGCCAGACGAGAGTTTCTATTTATGTTTATCAACTGTTGAACAATTTTTTTGAATTAACGGAATGAATAAAGTTGAGTTTTATGTTTTATAAACAAGGACACTAGAATTAAGAATTGATAAAAATTGAGTTTTTATAAGCATTCAGTGCCATCCTGAGTGTTACATCCATCATCCAAATATGAAATATCTCTTTCTTATCCCGTATGTGAAAAAACTTTATCAGATATGCCCATCTTACATAAACCATAAATGGTGAATATTATTCTACATAATTCTATTTAACTAATCAATTTATAACTTTTAGAAGATTAAAAGCTCAATATTTTATACTTAATACGATTTTTTATGCTAAACCTCGAATTCTTTTAAATTCCTAATAAAGTTCATTAAAATTCTATTAATTTAACTTTGGTAAAATAAAAATCTTTTCAAATTAGAAGTTATAAATACCTTTTTCTATATTTAAACATAATCAACCTATACTTTTAAGCATATGAAATTATAACTTTTAACTAAATAATTACTCACACTCAATAAACCCTAAAATAAACCAAAAGCTTAAATTAAACCTATCACACACAAACCTAAATTAAATTCCATAATACATAAATTAAATCCCACAGCACACACAAACTATGCTAAACTTTATTACTTACCTCTTGAAGATCTAAACCTAAACAGAGTGAAGGTGAACCACCACGATCCGCAAAGCACCGACACGAGCTGACCGGAGTAGACCACCAACGACAACAGCACACCACCACGGCCAGCCACCCCACCAATGCACTAAATTCACACAACCACCTCACCAACCAAGCACTACCACCAGCAGCGCAAACCACCAAGGACAGCACCACCACCACCACTACGAGATCTCCAATGCTCCACCTACAATACAACACATTCAGAAACACAAACAAAAACAGTGACACGAACACAACACATAAGCCCTAGTATTTATTCTCCTTCCCTGAAACGTACCCTAGAATCGATTACATAACAAGGAGAATCTATTCTCCAGTCAGTTCAGTGGCCACGGGAATCGATTCTCTGCAATCCATAACCGGTCGTCTTCGCTGAAGAATCTATTCTCAAAGGTCACCGGCGCCGAGAATCGATTCTCGAGAATCGGTTCTCTCGTCCCCTGAAACAAAATAAAGTAAGTTATGGATTTATAGTTCCGACAAGGAAAAAGATTCTTTAACACATAAAATGGTAAAAGTGTAAAATAGGAATAAAAATAAAGGTTAACTTTTGTATTTATATAAAAAAAAAAAGTAAAAGATAATTTAAAAATTTGATGGATGTCAAAATTATAGTTACCCTTCTCACAATAGCAAAGCTACTACACTGGACAAAGCCACTCTTGCACAGAAATTGGATATTTATTGAAGCAATCGATTTCAGAACTTTGTTTCGTATTAAAATAATTTGATTATCGTTAATAACAATGAGAATTACATTACGTCAATAATTATAGAAGAACATTAATCCTTGTGTTCCTAAATATTTTTAATTTTCTGGGTAAGATGGGTCTCACTTAACTTACAATAACGATTAACAGCATTGATTAGTTGATTGAATAAATTGAAGCGAAGAGCAGGATCATCTCATCATGAAAAGTCAAAAAGTGATGGCATCGAATGCAACAGTTAATTCAGAAAGTGATGTGAACTCTGCTCCGTCTCCCACCGTATGCCTTCTTCTCTCCGCCGCTAACTCCGCTTGTGGTGCTTTCGCTGGCTCCCTTTTCGGCTACGGTTCTCTCTCTAATTTGGACCTTCAAGTCATTTAAACTTGTGAATGTATATAATATTTAGAGAAATAAACTTTCTAACTCAATTTTCTGCTTAATTCAATGATAGGTTATTTCATATATCTATGCTATCTTGGTTAGAGTTATTTAGTTGGTGAATGTTTATATCCATGATCAAGGATGTTTTCTAAGGGTCTGTTTCAGGTGCTGGATTGATCAAGAAGAAAGGCTTTAAAGGATCCTTTATTGAAGCAGGGTCTAATGCTAAGGTATTCCACACATCAATGTTGTTAATTTTTCTGTCTGGCTTGTTACTCTATGAACTTAATAGTTATTTGAACGGCTGTTTTCTTTTTCTTCTCTTCGATAGACATTTGCAATTTTATCTGGAGTTGATAGTTTGGCTGTCTGCATCTTGGGAAGACTTCGAGGAAAGGATGATGGTATAAAATATTTATTCTATTTCGGAAAAAATTCTAAATGAGTAAGTTAGAGGTTAGTTCAAAACTGATAAATTAGATAGTTGGAGGAAAAGTGTTTGTTAAAATGACATAAAAGAACATGATGAAAGGAATTATGATATGATAGTATTCAAATGCCACACGAAAGAGTATTTCAAAAAATATCAACAGATATGTTCCTTCACCCAAGAGGTCTAATTTGGTGAAACAAACTTTTAATTCTGTCAAATACAGTATAAGCTTACTTCAAAATCCTTGCCAGTTCTTCACTGATAATGTGATTGCTTTCACATCTGCAGCCATTAATGCGGGGCTAGCTGGATGTTGTGCTGGTCTTGCTACAAGTTTTCCTGGTATCCTTTTTTCTAATAATTTGATGAATTGTCAACATTTACTTGAAAATTTTATTAACTTGATTGGTCCATGCACCAATTGAAATTAAGGATAAAAGTTCAGACTAATCTCTGCCTACTTTGATTGCATATATCTCAATAAAACAAAATACTTGCTTCACTTTTATTTTTACATTGAAAAGTATGTTTGTATCTCAAACACTAATCCAAACACACCAATCATTTCCTCAAACAAGAACTCTCTGGATAAACATGATCTTCAAGTCAAACAGTGCGACGATTATGTCTTCAATTGGTGACTGGGGAATGTTTTAAGGTTTATTAACAGAGTTTAGTTTCTATCAGTGTTTTTAAATTGTTAACATATTAGAAATCATGTTAGATGTAACTCATGAGGTTATTAAAAGACATACTATGTACAGTGATTTTTTATAATCTAATACTTTGCGTACTATTACTCTTCTTAATATATTTTGTGACAAATAAAATAACTATTTTATTGTAATAGTCTCTCAGTGTGTGTGTATGTATTATTGCTACACCATATATTTTTTTGTTATTAAAACTTGTCCTCACGATTCTTCAGATACACCCCTATCACTTCTACAGAACTGCCTTACTTTGGGGGTTCTTTCTTTTATCGTTGAAGGGTTAACCAAGCAGGGATCAGCACTTGCATACCCCAAGTCCAAGAAAACTGTACACAACAAAGCATGATTCCTACATCTCATAAAGGGTATATTGTGTTTTTTTTTCTTTTACATCGTTAAGATAAGGTTAAGGTGTAGCATATGCACCTCTCTTTTGGCTTCATTATAGCTTTATGGACACTTTTAGATATAGGGGTGAGGTACATTGTAACAAGGGAATGACTTGTTTCAAATATGGCATTCTGAGCTTGTCTCATGGGGCTGAAATGATTTGAGTTAGAAAGCAATGCGCTTTATTTTTTCTTTTTAAAGAAAAGGTTTTACCCATGATCTGCAGCAGAACTTGGTTGCAACACTTTCTTGATATATATTAATAATGATTTGAGCCTGTTTATTGCGCATCTTAAAATACATTCTCTTCCATAACACATTGCTGATCGTATTGTCATTTTTAGTATGAGACACACGTCTTTAGTTCACATATTCTTTTATACTGTTTTAAAGTGAAAGGGATGCGTCAAGAGTAGCAAGTTGTAGAAACTGCATGTCTCCCTCAGTGAAAGTAATCATGTTCTAATTGGGTAGAACAAGCATTAACGGCAAAACTCAACCATTTAATGCAATAATCTCATATCAGTAGATTCACACTCAAGAAATCATCTTATATCAGAAAGGTATATTACAAACTGCTAATATAAAACTAACTGTTTCCTATTTTTACTAGTAAATTTCATGGTAAACCTGCAGTGATAAACAGGTTATAACATGGTTCTGTCATATTACTTAACAATGACACCTAATCACAACTGCAGAAAAAAACAAAATTCTGTTGTACACCGTTTTATCATTATTACTAGTATTTTTACCACAAGCTTATTTTCGAATGCACAAGATTATTTTCGAGTACGACAATTAGAAATATTAAAAAAGAATAAAATAGACATTGTATTTTAAGTTTGAATGACAAATACAATGCAGTTTTAAATAACTGTCATCCGTATATACAATGCAATTTTAAATAACTATATCATAAGTATATACAATGCAGTTCTGAATAACTCTATCTTCAGTAGCATAGATGCATCTCTATCGAATAGTAGAGAAAAATCGTTGAATCTGTTTCATCCATGACTCAAACTTTTATTTCATACCTGAATAGAGACATAATCAGAAAGAGCAATCTAATGTAATCAAAATAGCATATAACATTACATTTAAAAAGGCAGGGCAAAGATAGTCGAGGTCGTCTAGAATGTGTTTGTTTTGATTTAGCCAACACAACAAAAGTAGATTCCTTAAAAAAAACACTACGAATACAAGAATTATTTTATCAAAAATGATAGGATAATTAATATCATACCGTCCTACAATCTTATAACCCTTCTATGGTGTTTCGAGGTCTCAGTTCAAGAAACTCAATCCCAATGCTGTATTCAATGCTGTGTTTAGATGATTCAGATAATTGACTTAGAATTTGTTCTAAGGCCTCTTCAGAGTTGATGTTATAAATTATCTTGGTAATTCTAAAGATGGACCTTATCTATATAAAACATATAAAAAGATATTTAATTTAATAATAATAAATGTAAAGTGATGATAAATTCCGAAATAAAGAAATTATGAATGACGAAAATAAATAATGGACAAACTATGTACCTTGAAACTATGTAGCTTGACAGACCTTGACTTTGCAAAATTGTATACTAATAGCCATATGCTAATTTTAAGCAGCTCCAAGAAATGCATTTAGTTGATCAACAACATAGTTATCAAATAGAGTGCATTCTATTCGAACCCTAAGAAACATGGTTTACACAAATTGAATAAATATGGTTTAAACAAATTGAATAAGATATAAAATTAATAAATTTTAGGAACTGAACATTCAATTTACCCATAAGCTTCTACTGAGATGAGATTCAACTTGGTCATTTTTTCATTTTTTTTCCAGCTCCCTCTCAGTTCCAACTCGGGTGAGATGAGATTCAACTTGGTCATTTTTCCAATTTTTTCCAACTTCCTCTCAGTTCCAACTTGGGTAAGCACTCCCATGACATCTGGATATATCAATAACTACATTAAAATTTGAAGTTGAAGTTTTGTTAGAAGATTGGAACTATCAGACTTGAACATACCTACTAAATACTCGGTGTCAAACCCAGGAGTAGACAAAGAGATGTATTTGGGGTTTGTTTTGGGAATTAATTCACCATCAACTAAAACAACCTTTATTCCGAATTGGAAATTAATCTTGTAAGAATGGTTCTATAAGACCCAGCATTTGATGCAACACTGAAGGATTGAATAGAGGAAACCTTGTTCTCAGAAATTTGAGATTGGAATTTGTAAATAAGTAATCTTTCTAATCGAGGGATGGATTCTCATACCCTGCATTCAGGATTTTAAATATGGTAAGTTGTTATAGAATTAATTATATAAATGAACCAAGAGTGTGGTGGATTATATTATCTGAATGTCCTGTAACACTAACTCCATTGAAAATGGAGATCTCTGTTTAGTAAACTCTGAGACAAACCACAACCTGATAACCCGGTCTATGATGTTC